ACCCTTCTCCGTCCCGGAGCCCTGACGCCCCACTCTGCCTCCCAAGCCGCCCTGGGGAGCCTCCTGCTGCAGCCAGGTCCCGGCTCTCCCGAGGGACGGCTGGAGGCAGGGGGCGGGGGTGCCGACCTGGGGTGTGTCTCTGAGCCGGGACCCCAGACTGCTCCCTGGCTCCTACAGAACGGCTTCGACTCCAAGGATGGGTCAGGATCTGCCCACGCGGGGCTCGCTCCAGCCGCAGCCGCCTACTACCCCTACGAGCCGGCCCTGGGCCAGTACCCCTATGACAGGTGAGGGCGCTGGGGCCGCCGGCATGTCCCTGCCCGTTGGGGAGGGCAGAGGTCCTCACGCCGCCCCTGTGCCTGGCTGTGGTCGTCCCCACACCTCTTTGGGGACTGCTAGGAGGCTCCCCATGCTGCCGTTTTCTGGAAAGTCGAGTCTGGAAGGCCCGGGAGGCCTGCACCCCTGCAGGGGAATCCGAGAAGGAAACCCCACACCCAGTCTGGGACGACACCAGGCCCAGACACCCCAGCTTCCTGGGCGAGGCTGAGTTCAGCGCACCCGAGCCCCGCTGGCACCTCCACCTGGTGGGAGACCCCTTCTGTCCAGCGCCTGACTCGTAGGGTGCAGGCTCCTGCAGTACGTGTTTACGGTTTGGGGATCAAAGGCGTAGGGGCAGAGCCCATAAAGTAGCTCAGGGAAATACCTCTGTAGAGTGACAGAGGCCGTGACCTCGGGCTTGGGAAGGAGCCAGCTCCCTGTCATTTTAATAACATTATCTTCGCCCCGGGCCATAAAAGGCTGGGCGGCGCCCACCCCAGGCTGAGGCCTGGACTAACCCTGACCAACCAAGCGTAATAAATGCAAACCTTCCCAGAGGCAAAGCCCTTGCCTGTGCCCGCCGCCCCCACCGCGTGACCCCTGTCTGCAGGTACGGGACCATGGACAGCGGCACACGGCGCAAGAACGCCACTCGGGAGACCACCAGCACGCTGAAGGCCTGGCTGCAGGAGCACCGCAAGAACCCCTACCCCACCAAGGGCGAGAAGATCATGCTGGCCATCATCACCAAGATGACCCTCACGCAGGTCTCCACCTGGTTCGCCAACGCGCGCCGGCGCCTCAAGAAGGAGAACAAGATGACGTGGCCACCCAGGAACAAGTGCTCAGACGAGAAGCGGCCCTATGCGGAGGGCGAGGAGGCGGGCGAGGAGGAGGAGGCCAGAGAGGAGCCCACCAAAAGTGCCAAGAGTGAAGGTGGGTGGGAGACTGGCCCTGGGGACCTGTGCCCTGGCACCCGCCCCGAGGTGGTAGGACTCCGGAGGCAGCAAAGTGGGTGAGCCCAAAGCCCCCTCTCCCCATGTGGCACATTAATTTCAAATTGAACCCCTCCCAGTGGTTCGTACTGGTAGTTCAGGGCTAAGAGCCCAGGGGAGGCCGCTTCCCCAGCTGCGGGGGGGGACTGGCCGTAAGTGGAGGAGGGTCCCTGACTGACCGCACCACCCCCTTCCAGTGACCGGGCCTGCAGGCAAAGAGGACAAGGAGTTAGAACTCAGCGACCTGGATGACTTCGACCCGCTCGAGGCTGAGCCCCAGGAGTGTGAGCTGAAGGCGTCCTTCTCAGCCCTGGACAGCAGCGCCCTGGAGCGTGCCCCCGCCCAGCCTGAGGGCCCCTCCCCTCTCCTGGGAGCCCCAGGCAAGGAGGCCTCGGGCACCCTCAGGATGCCCCTGGCTGCCTCTGGAGGGGGCACTGCCCTGGACGAGGACTTGGAGAGGGCCCGGATCTGCCTCCGGAGCTCAGTGGCTGGGCCGGAGCCGCAGCCAGGCACAGAGGGTGGCCCGCGGGCCTGCGAGGCCAAGCTGGGCTTCGCAGCCACCGGGGCAGCGACAGGCCTGGAGACCAAGCCACGCATCTGGTCACTGGCCCACACGGCCACTGCTGCTGCGGCCAGCGCCCTGAGCCAGACTGAGTTTCCCTCGTGCATGCTGAAGCGCCAAGGTCCTGCCGTCCCCGCGGGTGTGTCCTCGACGCCCACCGCATCCTCGCCCGCAGTCCCGGCCCCCGCAGTGGCCCTGGACAGGCACCAGGACTCCCCAGTGACCAGCCTCAGAAACTGGGTGGACGGGGTCTTCCACGACCCCGTCCTCAGGCACAGCACTTTGAACCAAGCTTGGGCCACCACCAAGGGCGCCCTCCTAGACCCGGGGCCACTGGGACGCTCCCTGGGGGCAGGCGCAAACGTGCTGACGGCGCCCCTGGCCCGCGCCTTCCCGCCCGCTGCACCCCAGGACACCCCAGCTGCTGGCACCACTAGGGAGTTGCTGGCACTGCCCAAAGTGGGCGGCAAGCCCTTCTGCACCTGAGCCGCGGCCTGGCGGGAGGGCGGGCTCTCTCCTGAGATTCCAGAGGAAGGCAAGGCCCGGCCAGAGGGAGGAGCCGGACTTGGTCTCCTGGGGCTTTGGGCGGAGCCCCGCCTGCGTCCACCCGCTCCCCGCCCCACCTGGTCCTAAGTCTGCTCCTCCAGCCTTCCCGAACTCCGAACCTGCCGGGGGCGGGGCGCTCAGCGTGCGGGAGCCCCAGGCATAAAGTTTACGTCCAAAGTTTACAGCGGGAAGGCTCTGGGCGCTGGCCACATGGTGGCTGCGCGGCGCCGCGTGCTCCTCCCGCTCCGTCCTGCCCACGGCGCTCACGACAGCCCCTCCACCTCACACTGCTGCACACTCCCGACCCGAAACAGTCGCGCTTTAACTGTTACGTGCACACCAGTGATTGCTGCTGCCGAGAGGCCGAGAGAACAAAACCAATAAAACCTGTGGCGGTGTTTGCGTTGCAGAAAAGAGCACACTGGAGCGCGGGGGCGCGAAACTTGGGCAGAGGAGGCAGAGGGTGGAGTGGGTCCACACCAGAGTCCACCCCTTGAAAGTCCCTGCCAACCCAAGACAGGCACAGCCCCCTGCAGAGGACCTTCTTTAAAGCTGGTGGGGCGGGACCCGGAACTACCTGCTCTGAAGTTACAGGGGCTGCAGGACCGAAACTTAAGGGTTGCTGTGACTGCGTTGGAATTAAAGTTCCTGAATCCCCGGAGGCTCTGTCCTGGGCTGGGGTGTGACTGCCAGTGGCCGTCTCAGTCCCTCCCTCTCACTTGGGCAGCGCCCACCGCCTGGGCCCCGCTAGCCCAACCTTCAGAGAGACGGCTTTTAGCTTCGGCTGCTCTGAAAGTGAAAAGCAGCAAGAGCCGGCTGCAGAGAAGAAGCCTGCAGTCACCCCGACGGGAGGCAGGGCTGGGAGGATGGAGAGGGAGCCGGGGTCCGGGAGAGTGAGGGCAGAGCCTGGCCGGAGCCTCTCAAGGCTCCTGGACCGGGCAGATGCAGGCTCGTCCCTGACCCTCCTGTGGCCGCCAGCGGAGCCTGTGGTCCTCGCCATCTTGCTCCCTATGGTCTTTCCCTGGTGTTCACTCCTGGCTCTCCAGGTGCCCAGAAGCAAATGGCCCAACTGTGCATGGAAGGTCGGAGTGGGGAGCCTTGCGGTGTGGGGCAGAAGGCGGTCCCAGCCCCGTCCTTGCTCCAGACTGACAGCCACTGAGGTGCGGCTGGGAGCTGAGGCACCACTTCCCAGGACTGATGGGTGCACAGGTGCAGGCAGAGCCTGCTGCGGGAGCCGGGGTGGGTGGGGCAGAACTGGCCCCACAGAGTCTCAGCTCCAGAAATGACCCTGACAGCGAGCCCTGGGGAAAGCAGGCCTGACGGTCGGAGGGCTGGTACTGGGTGAGTCTCAGTGCCCCGAGAGAAACGGCAGGGTGCCGGCACTGGCACTCCTGGGGCTCTCTGGATGCCCCACATGGGGGGCCCAGCCTGGCCTCAGATGGTGGGCTGGGGCCCTGGGCCCTGGTGAGGACCCCGAGCGCGGACCCCGGGCTCCGCCTCCGAGAGGCCGGCCGCGGTAATTGGATTGTACCCGCCCGGCGCTGTCACCGCGCTGACTTTCGCTCCTGTGGATGATATTATCGGGCGCGGAAGCCCGCCGCTGATGTGCCTGTCAAAAGCCCGCGGCGGGAGCCCCGGCCTGGCGAGCGAGCATCAGCCAAGATAATTTGAAGTGAAATTTTCATTTTGACAGTAAACCCCTCAATTTCTAAAGGCTGCGCGCTCGAGAGCTCGCTGGCAGGGGAGGCTTTGCAGAAAGCCCACGTCTTAGACTGAAAAGGGCAAAAGAACTCGAATTAGTTGTAATAGATAAAAGGGCAAAAATAAAGAGTCAAGGGTACTTGACAGTAATAGCGAAAGTGGCGTCTCCGGGGAGACTCGCTGCGCCCGAGGCTGGGGCGGCAGGAATTTTAATGCGGCTGCGGAGGGTGGCGAGCGCCCCCACCCTGGCCTAGACAAAGCGCGGCCTTCCAGAAGAGGGGCTCTGCCTGGGCAGCAGGGTGAGGCCTGGGGAGGTGGAATAGGGTCCAGGTCCCCTCGAGGGAAGCCCCGGGCACATGGTGGTTCCGGGTTCAGACCCCTCCCCTGGGTGCTCCTGCAGCCCCTGAGCCTGTCACCCTGGGGACCTGTGGCAGGGTTGGGAACTCCGCATCCCAGGAGCCCCGTCCTGGTAGGAAAAGTGGGCTACAGGGGCTGATTTACCTGACTGTGAAATAAAGATATCAAGGGGAGGCGCTCGGCACACTCGGGGGCCACGCAGCAAAGGCGCCGGAGCAGAGCCGCTGGCAGGGACCCCACCCCTCACCTGGGCGAGGTCTGCAGGTGTTGCTCTCCCGGGGGACCTAGGGGTGTAGACGCAGCAGGGTGATCCCACCTCCGGCAGGGCACCTGCGGGTGAGGATGGGGCGGGGCGGGGCGGGG